GGTCAACACCTTAGATAATCTCCAGGAATCAATTTAAATGGTAATAAAATCATTGCTGATGTAATATTTTCCCTATAAGTATTTATATTTGTGTATAAGCTGTTTAGATTGTCAAAAAGCCTGTGTTTTTAGGGTTATCAACGAAGTTCGTGTACTCAGACCAGTAATATTTTGGGTCACAAGTTTTTGCCGTGGATATTTTGTGGGTCAGAAGACAAAAAGTTTGGGAACCACTGGTCTAAAACATGAYAGTGTGACAGATCCTTTATTTTCTGACACAGAAAGCAGATGGAGGAAATTGCTCATTTTGTAACAAGTTGGAATAAAGAAAACCAGACAAACAAGGTGCATTTCTGTTTTTTTCTTTTATTATTTGATTTTATTGGTGATCATAAACGAGAGCTTATCGTAGAGTTTATCAGATGTGTTTTAAAGTTTATTTAACCAGTGCAGATGAAACAGAGCCTTCAGAGAGCGTTCAGCAGGACATGAGCTTTCACTAACTGACGTGACGGATCCCTCAACGCTGATAAGGTCACATGCACTCAGTAAACCTCATGACATCTCAGCGTTGCTTTGCAAGTCGCATGTGAGCTCAATTTCCTTCATTCTGTCGCTTTCAACTTCTAATTTTCTATTTTTAATCAAAAAATATCAAATAAACAAGCAGCAGATAAGACAGGCTGACTCATTAAAACATCCTCCCTTCAAATGATCAAGTTTCAGTTTCCTGCAGGAAACTTTATCCCTTTATAACAAAAACTGCTTTTTTTGTTTCATTTCTCTGAAATGTTCAAAGTTTTGGTTTAGTTAAGACAAAAGACTATTTGTTTTGATGCTTGTTCAGTTTTCAGATTTTGTAATCTGAACGTGACGTCGTCAAAAAAAAAAAAAAAAGGAGATGCATGTGACCGACGTTAAATTTTCCAAATGCTGAGAGTGTGACGGTGAGATTCTTCTCTAAACCCATATAAAGCTCTTCCTGATCATGTTAATGAAGTAGATGTGGGCTGCCATCAAACTCTTCATTTAGAGAATTAATTTAATTTAAGCAGACATCAATTTAGGGAAAATAGAGATATGCAGTAAATGAAGTTACGGTTTACAGATTTTTTTTTTTTTACCGTCAATGACAGCTTTGTACTTTGTGACAGTTTGCCAGCATGTGAGAGTCATGGAGGTTTGGCTGCTCAAAACAAATATTTGGTGTTAAAATGAGGAAATAAAGCAAACTGAAGTCACAAACAGATATGGGCTGGATTTTGCAGTTGCAGAAACAAGAATGGGATTTCTTAATTCTGTCTAACCCTTAAATATTCACTTATCAGTGATGGTAAAAATAAAAACAAAAAAAAGTTGTATTTTAGTGAAATAATCAACAAACTTAGTTTTGATCCTACACTGTCACATCTGAATCACGAGCCCGCAGGCTTCCTGTTATGAGATTAAAAGCCAGAAACGAGAGAAAAGCAGGGAGGACCTCCTGCTGGTGGGTCAGCTGCTGTAATTTGCTTCACATGAGCAGAACGTTGGACCCGTTTCACTCAGCGCTCGCTCCAGTCTCATGTCTGAAATCTGCTTTTTCAAAACCATGCTGCCCCCTCCTCCCCACAATCCCACCTCTCAGTTCTCTTCCTGTTCTGTTAGGTGCTGCACTCTGCTTTTTCCTCTCATCAGATTTTTGTAAATTCTTATTTTAGCACACCTGAACCCGAGCCTGTAGGCCGATGCGGACATGACAGCAGAAAAGGAAAGTAATGGATGTGACAACTATGGCTTTGCGGTAAGTTTACTAACATAATCATAATCTATTCTCCTATAGAATAAAACAGAAACAAGATTCAAATTTATGGCCTTTTTTTTACACGTGCTTAAATCAGCACATGTACTCTGGTAGTTTTATTATTATAAAAAGTTGTCTTTGCTTCAATATAATTGGATTAAAATAAATGAAATTAAATGAATATCTGCCAAAAAGAGTTTACTTTTGCAACTGATGAAATTTAGCTGTTCTGCTAATTCCAGAGCATTTATATTCAGATAATACTGTTCTTTTAAATAAATAATGAAAATGAAATGATAATGTTTGCCTCGTTCTCTGACAACTCAAAGCTGGAGGGACGTTTCTGTGACCTGCCCGACAAAGAAGTCGAGCTGGACTCCTCCATGGATGAGGACAATAACAAACTGGCATACAGTGTGACAGATGTTCCTCCTTGGTACCTCTGCATTCTTTTAGGCACTCAGGTATGACGACAAATTAGTCTTTGTGTGTTTTTTCTCTCTCTTTCTTTAAAAAAAAAGTAACATTATTTTTGTTACTTTGACTCCTCAGCACTGTTTGACTGCATTTGGGGGAATCATCGCCATCCCTCTGATCCTGTCTGAAGCGTTGTGTTTGCAACACGATGGCCTTACACAAAGCTACCTCATCAGCACAATCTTCTTCGTCTCTGGTATTTGCACGTTGCTGCAAGTTACCTTCGGCATTAGGTAAGAATGACATCATTAGGACTAGATGCTGCAGTAAATGCAAGGGCATAACTTTAGGTCTAATTGAAGGGTGTTATGCTCTCTGCCTATTTATTTATTTAATGAATTATTTACTTTTGTAAAAATAATTCAGGATGCATTGCTTTTACTTTTATTCATTTAACGTTTCTGTTTTCTTTGTATTTACTCTGCACTTTTTCTGTTCCACATCAGTTCAACAATTAAGAAAAGTCTTATTCCCACCCCAGCACCCATTTTATTCCAAAAGTAACAAATATTTTATATTTTAGGATGTATTATACCACATATCTAAATTTCTCAATTTTCCAAGAGTATATATTCTCCTGGAACACTACAAACTGCGTAGGAAAAATTAAAATACATAATTTAACAATATCAGCTTGGTTTAATCCACTTTAATGTGCTGTACTGCTGGGAATTGTGAACATGTTATAGCCAGTGAATCATTGTAAATTAGACATTTACACATGGGTGTAATTTGCATTGCATATATATACATAAACCTGTTGAAAATGACATGCTGCTCAGCTGTCACATTATGTTATTTGGCCTAATTTCGCCTGTGTTTATAGTTATCTTTTGCTTTGTATTTTGTACACCCAGTGTCCTAGACTCAAAAAAAGACTGGTAAATATTGTAAACATGTATAGGGTCACATTTCAAATGCCAAATCAAAACTTCATTAACATTCTGAATATTATTTCTAAATAAACCTTGAATTTTTTTTTCGTTTTTGCATTTTTCTTCTTTTAAACTGCTGAAATTTCCTTATAATGTGCAATAATCATTAACCAAATGTTAAAAAGTCAAGTTTAACTACTCATGGGAAAAAGAATCAAAGCTCTCAAACTTAGGACATATCCTGGACATTTTATAACCATAATAATAATGTGTGTCCAAAATCGACATTATAGCCATAAAGGGTTAAACATGTGGAATGGACCAACCAGGGGCACCAAGTTATCAAAATGACCACAGGGGACTGTTGATATTCTTGGGGTTGCACACCAAAAGTAAATGCTATGATTTTCAAGAGTTTTATTAAACTGTTAAATAAAAGCACACGAACCATCTTCAGAGAAAAACCCCCCCGATTTTTTTACTTTGCAGATGATATGAATAATTGAGAACAGCACTGTTTTTACTAATCATGGAAGTTTGTTCTTTCCTTCCTTTAGTCATGATCCTAATGTTAACTGTCATTCCTTAAAAGAACGCACATTGCTTCTGGCCTTGCTTGCCAGAGATTTATACAAATATCTGGCAAGATTTAACTGTCATAAAATGTGTTGAAGACGACACTCAGCTTTCACGTCAAACTACATACAGTTCTACATCCGAGTAGATATTTTTGTGTTTGCTGTGGGGATCATCTTGAATCAAGTTGATTCCAACAGTTCGTGGTTCATGAGATATTTTGCTAACAGAGACATTATGCAAATAAGACCCCCCCCCCCCACACACACACACACACACACACACTTCTCTCCTCAATCTCTCTAAAAGTGTGTGGCCTGTCAAATGGAGTGGACACAATGAACAATGGAATACTTCAGTGTTATTCATGCATGGCTTCTGTTTCGAGGATTACCAATAAGATGATCTTTCAAGCAGCTTTACTTTTTGCATCGGGCTGCTTTGGACAGTCACAAAGCCTGCTTTAGGGATGTTGTTAAAAAAGGTCTTCAGTGGGGTTTCCTCAAAATCTCCAAAACTAATATCTTATCTGGCTAACACACACCAGAGTTTATAGGTTAATATATGATTCTGTTTGGGAAAACTCCAGTCTTATAGTGTATTTTCCAGCTCTGAACTGTTCAACTCAGCCTGCCTGAATCTTGGCGTCACAGTTGGATTAGTCAAGGAATTTCCATCTTATTACAATTGGAATTTAGATTTTGCTAGATCCACATTCTCCTGGTTTAGCACCACTGATGCTTTCTTGTCTTTCTCTAAACAACCTGGAGCAAAAACAAAATGTTCAGCAGAGCCCTGCTGCAGGGAAACCAAAACAAAAACATTTGTTACGTTTGACTCCCGGTCATGTTTATTCACTGAGCGATTTGTCGGCTGTTAACTTTTTCCCTTCTAGTTTCACATAGAAATCTGAGCTTCCTTTAATAACTTACCACAACTTCAGCTTGATGTGTGTCGTTGATACTGAAGACAAAAACTAACTGTTTATTATGTGAACTTCCTAATCCTCTAAAGCAGGGCCATTCAATGGTGGCCCGCGGGCCGAATGAGGCCCCCGCCCAAAAAAGTTTTTTTTTTTGTATTTTCATATCCTTTTAACTTAATTTCATATAAAATAGATTTMAAATCATTTGTAAATTTACAATTTATGTTTCAATGTAACAAAATAAATTAAAAAAGTAAAAGATAATCAGAATCAGAGTCAGTTTTATTGGCCAAGTATGTTTACACACACAAGGAATTTGTAGTTTAGAACACCCGTCCGGAGAAACACACACACGTGACAAACATGGGGGGACGAATGTCCAGGGTCCTTCGCAACAACGTGCGCTACCTTTGCAGTTTAGAATACACTCACACATAGGAAGGATGAGTTAAAAAAAGAGCTTTGRTCCTGTGTTTTATACAGAAAAACACACAAGCATGCGCACAAAAAAACCACTCTGCGAAAGGAGCAGCTAAGGAGGGMAGGGACATTTTCTGTTAAATGCTGCAGTGTTTCACTTATCTTTACTGCTCCCTCCAATGTATGTCCTGATGCCCCCCAAACTGTGAGCTTAACTCCAGCCCCCAGAGTSATTGATTGCCCTGCTCTAAAGCTTGCATGTCTAATGACCATGTCCATGATTTGAATAGAAATATTACATTCTAACACACTTATGAAAGCTTTGTGGATGTTTTCTTATATTGAAAAGACCTTTTCGATGACCACTCGACCTAAATTACCTTTACTGATAACTTGTTTTATGGTATTACCAGAAYAAAGCTGTTAAGATTGTAAATATCTCTATAAGATGGTTGTGTGGATTTCATTTGTTGCCTGACAATTCTACCACCTTTATCTCCAGACTGCCCATTCTTCAAGGTGGCACGTTCACGCTGTTGGCTCCCTCCATGGCGATGTTGTCCATGCCAGAGTGGACTTGTCCCCATTGGACGCAAAATGCCAGTTTGGTAAACACGTCGTCCGCAGAGTTCACGCACATGTGGCAGAGTCGAATGAGAGCAGTGAGTAAGATGAAACTATATAACTTGATAAAACAGCTTATTGTTGATACCGTAGCTGGAACCATGCAGGTCACTGATTCAACATGTAACATCAGAAACTTAAATGTTTTTGAACTGTAATTAATAACCAACAGTCCTGGCACTAATACTAGGACATGTTCAGTGTTTCAGCCACACAAAGTGTTTCTTTGATCTCTGCACAGTGGTAATATTATGTGTGCTAATTTTATGCTGGCTTGGCCATGTCTTGTGGAAAATAAAAAAATAGTTTTGTTGTTGTGGTAATAAAAGTTGAAGAGGATTTGAAGAGGAGAAAGTTTTGTTAAAACAGTCCTGATGTAAATTCATGACATCAGCACCTACGTGTTGTTTTAATGTTSGTTGATCGATATTAGCGGCATAAAACAGCAATATTACAGACTTTCATTAGTTGTTTCTGTAAACTCTCAATAAACGCTCTTCAATAGACCAACAAATAGAAGAAATACAAATGGAAAACAGTAACTTTCTATATAAATATCTGGTGTTATTTGAGCATAAAGTGTGAATGGAACACTTTGAGTGAAGCATTAAAAGACAGTAGCAGAAAAAATAATGCTAATTGTGTGTGCGTGTGTGTGTGTGTGTGTGTGTGTGTGTGTGTGTGTGTGTGTGTGTGTGTGTGTGTGTG